AGAAGAGCAAGGATGGATGCACTACCCCCATCCCGCTCCCGCCAGAGATCATCCAAAAGTGCAACCAATGCTGTTTTAGTCCCAAATCTGGGCCTGAAACCTGACTGAAAAGGGTCTAGATCATCTGTTTCATCCAGGATCCTCTGGAGCTGCAACGCTACCACCTAAAAACGGAAGGTGGGAGACTGGACGAAAATTGTCCAGTATGGTGGAATCCAGTGATGGTTCTTGAGAAGGGGGTATACCCGTGCCTCTTTAAAGGCCGCTGGAAACACTCCCTCTCTCAAGGATGAATTCATCATCGCCTGGACCCACCCACATGTCACCTCCCAAGCTGCCTTAACCAGCCAGGAGGGTGGTGGTGGCATTTACAGCCCGGAGGACCCTGTCCACTTCCTCAGGTCCAACAGGATCAAACTGTTGCCAGATAACAGGGTAAGTATGTACCCCAGGCATCTCCACAGGGCATACCACTTGCTTGGTATCCTACTGGGAACGTATCCGGGCGATTTTAATCCTCCAGATGCCCAGAAAACTCCTCTGTGCGGCCCTGTAGGTGGGTCATTGGGCCCACCTTTCCCAGAAGAGATTGGATGATCTTACACAGGGCCACTGAGCGGCATTCTGAGGGTGCAATAAGAGTGGAGAAATGTTGACGTTCTGCCGCTCTTACTGCCACAAGGTAGGTCTTAATAGTGGCTCTAGCCTGTGTTCGGTCGGATTCTGTCCTTGTTTTCCTCCAGTGGTATTCTAGACGTCTCTTAATCCTTTTCAGAACCCTTAGCTCCTCCATAAACCACAGGGAGTATTGGGCTTGACGGGTCAAGAGAGGTTGCATGGGCACGATCTTGTCCAAGGCCTTGACCACCTTCCTATTCCAGTTGGTGGCCGGGGCCTCCACTGGACCTTGCAGGAGATCCTCGGGTATAGTCCCCAGCTCCCTCTGGAACCCCATTGGGTCCATCAGTCACCGGGGGTGGACCAATCGAATAGGTCCAGCCTCCCTGAGGAGGGGGATGGCATAGGAGAATCTCAAGGCCACCAGGGCGTGATCAGACCATGACAAGGGGGACAGATGTAATTCCCCCTTCAGATCACATTGCCACTGCTCGGACAAGAAAACCAAGTCTGATGTGAGGCCACTGTCCTGAGTCAGGTTGCAAATAATCTGGGACAGGCCCATGGCTGCCATGGTGGCCATGAACTCCTGGGCTGCCTCCGAGGTACATCCCAGGGATGGCAGATTAAAGTCCGCCAGAACCATAAGTCTGGGGAACTCTACTGCCAGCCCTGAGACTGCCTCCAGCAACTCAGGCAGGGAGGTTGCTACACAGCAGGGAGGCTGGTACAGTAGCAACAATCCCAACTGTTCTCATGAGCCCAACTTCAGGAACAGGGTTTCATAACCAGCCACTTGTGGAGCAGTGCCCCTGAAGGCCAACAGAGAGTCCCGGATGACAACCGCTACTCAATATACATTTTATTTGGGGTGGGGGGCAATTTTCAGGTATGCATTATCTAATGAACTCATTAGATACAATATTACAAAAATATAGTAATGGGAATAGCAACAGATGTCAAGATATTTAATTAAGGTAGAATGTTACAAGTTTCCAATTACACATATTAAAAAACAGAAATTCAGTTGGAATTAGGAAAACAGAACAAATTTGAGAGTTAATTATAAGAAGTTCATAATTATACTGATATTTCTTCGATATTCCACTATACATTTAAATTTAAGAACTGCTTGAAGCTAATAATTACCTTGCCATAAACAGAACATGAAATCTGATTAAATCCTGAAAGACTATACAGTGGTACCTCAGGTTATGAACTTAATTCGTTCCATGACTCTGGTCGCAGCCCGAATTGGTTGCGACCCAAAGCAAATTTCCCCATAAGGTTCAATGTAATTACTGTTAATCCGTTCTGGTGTGGAGGACAGGGAGGCGGCTATTGCTTGGAGGGGCGCCTCCCTACGTATTCCGCCTCCCTACGACCACGTGTCAGGGGCGGAAAATGGCCGCGGACCACGCGTCAGGGGCAGAAAATGGCCGCGAACCACGTGTCAGGGGCGGAAAAATGGCCACGGACCACGTATCAGGGGCGGAAAATGGCCGCGGACCACGTGTCAGGGACGGAAAAATGGCCACGGACCACATGTCGGGCGGAAAAATGGCTGTGGACCACCTGTCAGGGGCGGAAAATGGCCGCGGACTGTGTCACAGGAGGGGAAATGGCCGCGAATCCTGTTCGTACCCCAAGGCGGAGTTCGCAAACCGAAGCAAAATTTTGTGGCCGGAGCTGGTCGTAACCCGAAAAGTTCGTTAACAGAAGCGTTCGTAACCCGAGGTTCCACTGTAATTATAAACACACTTACCTCTATAAATATACCTAATAAATTAAGTACACCATACCAAGTTTAGTATATGCAGTACTCAGTATTAAACTGTCTACTTTAACAGAAATTGCAAAGCAGAGAATCATTACTTACACACTTTGTCGGTATTCACAAAAACACCTTGTAGGACACATGTTCTAAGTATAACTTCCACATCTGAAGCAAGTTTTATAAGCTGTGGAGTTGGGAAACAGAATTCAGAATTATTATCCAACATATTTTGTTTCCTGCATATCCTCAAAATGTCATTATCTTACAAGTCCATTATTTCATAACTGAAGCTTTCAAAAGATGTTCTCTTGGATGCTGAAATTACTGTATTTACATTACATATGCTTTAATATGTGGGAAGGCCTGGTGCGATATGGTTCATGGGGTCACGAAGAGTCGGACACGACTTAACGACTGAACAACAACAACAATGCTTTAATAGAAAATGGATTTTTTTTCTACAACTGGCAAGATATATTCATCACAAGGAGAAGACTTAATCATAAAAACCATGCATTTCCTTCCAGAATAGAGCAAAAGGGACCTTTTCAATACACTACCTTTATAATCTCTTAAGAGGGCCTGAAACTGTCACTTTGTTTAATGATATCTCTTTTCTTCCTTGAAATTATATTTTTATTCTTCTAATATTAATATTAAATATTCATGTGGAAATCTTCAAATAGTTTATACTGCACTTACTACTAGAAATCCCTACAATGCCATCATACTGCTCCAAAGAAGCAGTCAGAGAGCTATTACTCAGATAGTTGCTAAAAAGATCTCACACTTTATTAAAACACAAAGCCATACGGCAGGAATATAATACTTGATACACAGGTAGTAATTACAGTAGTTTATTTGGGTTTCAGAATGCAGAGTTAGAATTTCATCATTTCATCAGATTCACGAATAATTTGACAGTCTATTCCTCCAAATCTAAATAATTATTTGCATGAGTCAGCTTGTAAGAATATCTGGGATACTGACTGAAAGAACAACAATCCATGAAAAAATATGCATGCATTTACTTTAGCTATCAGTTTTCAACCAAGTGAAAGCTATATAAATTCATTTTTTACAGCTGGGATTTTAGTATTATCAAACATATGACCACTTGCTAAATTTGAGAGAAATTTTTTCTTCAGGCAAGAGAACCTAAATATCAGTGATTCAGGGGATCAGGCAGAGCTGTTTCAATTTTAAGGGAAAGAGAAAATTACAGCATAATGTAATCTACTGTGCCAGTTTCTGCAAGAAGACTCTTATGTCAAAGATTGGTTCAGTTAAAGATGTCCATTTATCTGTTCTGTATGCACATAAAAGTACTTCTTCCTGTTTTACAAGCAAATTATTATTCCTTTGAACAGATTCTTCAGAACTGCCATTTTCCTTAATCTCTCTCTTTTCCCCTGTCAGATAACTGGCATTCATTTATAAATGGTGGCATTTGTAGGAAAAGAATTCAATGAGCGGGGGAATGTTTCTGAAATGGAATAGCAAGAGAGCTTATTCACTAGTTTGGCACAGGCAGCAAAATATAACACTTATTAGCTCATGTTCAAAATAACAGTTCAAAATATCAGTTATGCTGGGGGGGGATTAGTAACATATTCTGTTAAATAGAAAGGTGACAAAACTGTAGGCAATTTAACTCTCTGCTTCAGGATCTTTACTGATTAATGGTCAGGCAACAAAGCCTCTAGATCCATTTAGCCATGCTTTACAGTAGTAATAAGAAAACTGGTTATCATCAGATACCTAGATAGCTCCTACAGCAATGTTTCTCATCCTTGGCAACTTTAAGATGTGTGGACTTCAACTCCCAGAATTCCCCAGCCATGCATGTATGTATGTATGTATGTATATATGTGTGTGTGTGTATGTATGTGTGTGTGTATACACACACATATATACATATGTGCATGTAAAGGCCTTCCTAGCAATGACTGCAACCTGCTCTTTAAGCAGGAGTCATGAGTCGAGGAGGACCCCAGATTGCGCACCAGGTCCATCTGGTGCAGTGCAACCCCATCCAGCACCAAAGATGGCATAGTCCTAGAACCACTATGCCCCCAAACCCAAAGCCACTCAGTCTTGCTGAATGGAGCTGAAGCCTGTTGTTTCCCATCCAGACCCTCAGAGCCTCCAGACACCTTGATAAGATGTTCATGACACTGCTTAATTGCCAGAAGCAGAGATGTATAATTGGGTATCATCAGCATATTGATGATACCTCACCCCACGGTGACAGATGAGCTCACTCAGCAACTTCATGTAGTTGTTAAATAGGAGAGGGCACCAAATCCTGTGGCACCCCACACAGTAGGCCAAGGGCAGGACCTCTCCTGCCCAATCTCTACCGACTGGAATCAACCCTGGAGAAAGGAGGCAAACTAGCACAATGCTGTGCCACCCATCCCCAATCCTCTGAACCAATCCAGAAGGATACCTCGGCTGATAGTATCAAAAGCCACCGAGAGGTCAAGTAGGGCAAGGATGGATGCACAACCCCCATCCCACCCATGCCAGAGATCATCCAAAAGTGCGACCAATGCTGTTTCCATCTCATACCCAGGTCTGAAATGTGACTGAAAAGGGTTGAGATAATCCACTACATCCAAGGCCCTCTGAAGCTGTTGTGCAATCACCTTCTCAACCACCTTTCCCAAAAAGGGGAGGTTAGATACTGGACAAAAATTGTCCAGTATGGAGGGTTCCAGCAATGGCTTCTTAAGGAGGGGGGTAAACCAAGGCCTCTTTAAGAGATGAAGGAACAACCCGCTCACTCAAAAAAGAATTAACTACTGCTAGAACCCACTCACATGAGACCGCTTTAACAGGCCAGGAGGGGCATGGGTCTAAAGAACAGGTGGCTGAGCTCACAGTCCTAAGGACCCTGTCCACTTCCTCAGGTCCAACAGGTTCAAACTGTTCCCAGATAATCAGGCAAGATTCCTTTCCAGGCATCTCCTCTACAAGGCAGGTGTCCAACTGCAAGCAAATCTCAGTGACTTTGTCCGACAGATGCTGAGCAAATTCCTCCACATGCTTCAAATGTTAGGGGATCCCATCCTATTCTCTCCTCTTCAAGCTACAATAAGAATTCTGCAAGGGATAACATTCTAAGAAGAAAAATTGTTATCTCTACTCAATAGCTGCTTGCTTCTAATTCATCTTTGATTATTGCTTTATATTTCCCTTTGAATGTGAAGCAGAGGAAATACCACCATGAAACAGAGATTCAGCCACTGACTTTCAAGCTGTGGTTTCCAATACAAATGTACAGATCACATTTCTATTTTGTCAGTTTAACTGTATGGTTTCTCTTTTCAGAGAACGGTTAAGAATGGTAATTTTACAAAGACATTCACAATTGTTTGCCAGTAATCTCTATCCTCTTCCTGTTCCTAATCTGTTCTGTGTAGTCAGTACAAAGTTATACTCAGTATACTTTGTAATAGTTAAGCTAGCTTAAGTTACAGTGCAGAGTTGTACTCAATAACAGAAACCAATTTCTATACAAATACCTCAGCTATTTTTTCAGGAGAAGTTTCATCTCTATTATTTTTGAATTCTTCATTTATCTTAAATCTTGCAGCTGGAAAAAAGGAGAGAGAACGGGGATTTTAAAAAATCTATTTATTCAGCTTTTCGTTAGCAGATAAAATAGATTCTTCTATTTCAGTCAGCCATATACCATAGAATGTTACCAGAGCCTTATATGCTGGAGTGAAGATATTTAAAAAGACGTAGTTTGTTTCCCCAACAGCCAAATTACAATATGTGGTATTACAAAATGTCACTAAAAATCCCAAATGCAAGTTATATCTAAAAAATAACTATGGCTCTGCAGCAAGTTGAGGAAGTTGAACATAAAACAGCCTACAGAAATCAGTATTTAAAGAAAGCATACTTGACATATCACAAAGCAGTATAATAACTATCTTGGATAAGATGAGGCTCCAGTAAGGAGATATTTAAATGTATATAAGCTCTTATTGTAGAAACGTGGCATAACATAAACTGAAGAAAATTTAGAAAAGGTGTTATCAATAGAACAGTTTCACAGAACATGGGATAGAAAACAATCACTCTATTCCCACAACACACAACTGGGTCCAAAATCAGTCAATACCCTGTGAGAACACCTAGACAAGGTCAACTAAATCTTCAGAGATTAAATAATACCTAAAACAGACCCTGTTTTACAGGGTTACACTGTAAATACAGGGTTAAACTGACTCAGTTGAAAAAGCAAATCTATCCATTACAGCATTCAGTAACAAAGTATGGCAGCACTCAACAGTTTTTTTCATAAACTACCTGGCTGTCATATCTAAGCCATGCTGACTGCTGACTGCTGCCAACCTGACCACTGGGGAAGGGACTAGTGATATCATGAAGTCTTGGCACTAAACTCCTAGTGCAAGGGATTGATACTAAGTATTTTCCGGAGAAAATTATCAGGGATTCTGTATTCCCCAAATGATGAGTTTTGACTAAATTAATATAACTGTGCTCTGTTAGAATCACAAACAAGAAGATATGCCTGGGTAAGCAGCTGGCCAAGTTAAGCATGTTTCACCAAGTAAGGATCCAATCATCTGGAACTTTAGAATTCAAGCATAGCACCTTGAATTCCATCTAGGAACATTTAAGGTGGCGCTCAATATGAACGGTATATTGCTGACAATACATTCAAAGTCAGCTAACAAATCTATTATACATTACAAAGTATTGGCTGGTATGATCTTTCTGGAGAAATGACATTATTGATGAATGAAATAACAGCATTTTCTTGTACAGTGTTTATGTGTTTAATTTTTCTAAAAGGCATACAATTTAGATAAAATGAAGCCAAGCTTTCTTGGAGTAACACTTTGTCATATTGATGATGCAGTTTTACTCTCCCATTCAAGACTGGGCTTCAAATGTCCTCCTTAACAGCCTTTGCTGAATACTGCAAGTAAAATTCCTTCGTAATAAACTGGGACAAATCTAAGACCCTGATCTTTGAGAGGAAATTCAAGTGCCATAAATGGTTGGTTTGGAACCAACCAGTCAAGCAGGTAAGATGCTTTAGGTATCTTGGCTTGACGTTTACCACTCTTGTCCTAGTCAACCCACTGTTCTTCTGTTCTTCAGAAGTCAGAAGCCATTTTATTTCTGTGGCTGGTGTGGGTCTTCCGGGCTGTGTGGCCGTGGTCTTGAAGTTTTGTTTCCTAAC